TTTTCAGCTGCAGCTGACTTGGGGAAGTCTGGGGCAGAGCAGCTGGGGTGCTGCCGGGTTGGTCCCGCAGCGCCGAGGGGCAACGCTACGGGACCAACCCGGCAGCACCCCAACTGCTCTGCCCCCGTCTTCCCCTAGTTAGCCGCTGGTCAGTTTCAGCAGTGGCTGAATCGGAGAAGCCGGGGGCAGAGCAGCTCCAATCGTCTGGCTGCCCAGAGCACTTCTGGGTTCCTGATGGTGCCAGACCATCAGGTGCTGGACCATTGGATGCCGGACCACTGGAGTTTTACTGTACTTCCTTTTCTTTGTTTTAAACCTGCTGTCCATTCATTTCATTTGGTTACCCATAGTTACTGTGTTATGAGAAAGAGTAAATAGAACTTCCTTATTTAATTTCTTCATACCAGTCATTGTTTTATAAACCTCAATCATATGTCCCCTTAGTCATCTTTTTTCCAAGCTGAAAAGTCCCAGTCTTATTAATAGCTCTTCATATGACAGCTGTTCCATACCCCTAATCATTTTCGTGATCCTTTTCTGAAATTTTTCCAATTCCAATGTACTTTTTTTTTTTTTTTTGAGATGAGTCCCCAGATCTGCACACAGTACTCAAGATGTGGGTCTACAATGGTTTTAGATAGAGGCAGTATATTTCCTATCTCAGTCTTTATCCATTTGTTTGTTTGACTGCCACTGCACATTGATTGGATGTTTCCAGAGAATTTCCACAATAATTCTAAGATCTCTTTCTTGTGTGGTAATAGCTAATCTAGACCCCATCAAGTTATATGTATAGTTGAAATTATGTGTTCCAGCGCGCATTACTTTGCATGTATCAACATTAAATTTAATTTGACATTTTGTTCCCCAGTCACGCAGTTTAGAGATGCTTTTTTAGTTCTTCACAATCTGCCTGAGACTTAACTTCTTGATTAGTTCAGTATCATCTTCAAATTTTGCCCCCTCAATGTTTACTCCCTTTTCCAGATCATTTATGAACGTGTTGAATAGGACTGGTCCTAGTAAGGACAGCCAGGGGATACCTCGCTCCATTCTGAAAATTGAACATTCATACTGGCCCTTTGTTTCCTATCTTTTAAAAAGTTATCAGTTCATGAGAGGCCCTTATCTCTTATCCTGTGACAACTTACTGTGCTTAAGAGTTTTTGGTGAGGGTTAATCCTTGCAAAAGCTTACTGAAAGTCTAAGTACACAGTATTTGCTGGATCCACCTGTCCATGTGTTTGTTGACCCCCTCAAAGAATTCTAGTAGATTTATGAGGCATAATTTCCCTTTACAAAAAACATTGACATAAAACAAATTGTGTTCAATATGTGTCTGACAGTTTTGTTCTTTCCTGTAGTTTCAACCAATTTGCCTAGTACTGAATTTGGGCTTACTGTTTCATGATTGCTGGGATCACCTCTGGAGCCCTTTTAAAAAATTGGCATAACATTACCGTATTTTCCGGCGTATAAGGTGACTGGGCGTATAAGACGACATCCTAATTTATTAGTTAAAAGATAGGTTTTCGTCTTATACTCGCCGTATAAGACTACCCCCCCCCCTTAAGAGGCCAACCGGCAGCGCCCCAGCGCCCCTCCGCCTCCCCAGCTTTGCTCCCGGTGTCCCTGGTCTGCTGGAGACGGTCCCCAGCAGACCA